AAGTGCTAACACTGGGGGAGTGTCCTCTCTGCCATTTTTTGCACACGCGCATATGCATATGTGAATACTTGCGAAGATGCATACATGCATACTCATGTGGACACCGTGCATTCGCATTTCACGCTTCCTCCGCCGTTGCGACGTCAACTGTGAGCAGCGATCTAGCGCAAAGACATTACACAATTGATGCATGCGCACACACGTCTGAAAAGCTATGTATACACACTCGATCGTAATCTAACTGCAAAAGTGGAGTCCCTCCCTACCAATGAACAATGTTGACATTTAGAAAAGCGGAAAGGATCATTCAAAAAAGGCAGCAAAATATATCACTCCACAATTTGCACATTGTATAATATGCAGCCACACTCACATTGGAGTCTTTTGTTTTGTTTTACACGCGCACGTACACACATACACATATATATACATAAATATATACACTTATACATTCATATATTCATATACTAATACACTCACGGTCATACACACGTATGTATGTCCCCCTGCACAGTCATATAATTTTTATTCTCCTTTCCCGTTGCATGTACAAATCACTCGTCGATACTCTCACTTAGTCATATTCACGACAACGAAAAATCAATTTTATAAAAAGATAGGACAAAGCATTTGCATACTCTCTCTACTTCGCGCAAGTTGGATGCAACATGCGCTTTGCCCCTCTGGTTGGACTCGCCGCAAATTGTCACTCCCCCTCCCCGGTAGGCACGTGCGAGTATGCGTACGTATGTGCGTACGGTTAAGAGTTTACACCCACGTTGGACATCCACCATGCGTCTGCCCTTACGCGCAACGGTGGATAATGTTCCCTTCTGTTTTGCATTACCACGGACGTCAGAGGCGAGCATCCAGCCACACTTCAGCAGGAAAAATCGCTTTAAAAAAAAAAATTATGAACAGTTCATACAAAAAAAAAAAAAATTCTCTGTCTTACGACAAATGGATACACATCCTGTACAGTATATACTGTTACATGTTCCTTTGCGTTTTGCTTCGTCTTAACTTCGTTCTTATTCTGTATGCGCCAGTTTGGTTGAGGGAAAATAAAGAGGTGGTCACAGTTTAGGCAAAATGAGTTCAGTCTAATTGTGCATACGGTGGGTGCACTCAGTTTGGGAGGCAAAACAGTCGGAAAGTTGGTAAAGTGTGGGTACAATTTTGACAACCAGATGGCAACGAGGCGGCAAAAAAGAGGATGACAAAGACATGACACAGCAGGTGACAATTTTGTTGACAAAATGTTGACACCGTGTTGGCAATACATTGACAAAGTGTTAACCAAATTGCCGCACCCCAATTACTCTGCCTTGTTACCCGTGTGCACACGCGCACGAACAAAGGAACGGACGAACGGGAGGCGAAACAGAAAAAAAACAAAACATGCAAAAATGCGTACTTCGTTAAAATGGCACCTTTCCTTACCAGTGGATGTGTGCCTCTCCCTAGCTGGAAAAAATGCACACTCTCGGTTAAAGCGAACAAAAAAAGGAAAAAAAACGAGCGGACAAAAAAAAAAAAAAAAGCGCACAGACGGACAAGAACAATGGAGAATAATCTTACCCCGGGGAGTATCAAAAAAAAAAAAAAAAAAAAAAAAGGAAAAAAAAAAAAAAAAAAAAAAAAAAAAGGGAACAACAAATGAACAAAATAAACTTCCCCCTATAAACGCTTCTTCTCTTTGTATTCCCTTTTGCCATCACCAGATTTATCGGTCACAGGAAAGTGAAACTCATTTCTATGCGTGCAAAGCGCTAAGGGTATTTTTTCGTGTTCCTGTCCACCCAAGGCGTAAAATTAGAAAGTTGCACGATAGTTCACTGGCGTGGTTACCACAGTTGTGCAGGCAATCGGGCGGAGTCAACGCACCGTGCTGCTTCCCCACCCCCAACGGAAGCTCCGACCTTGGGTCCATGTCGCATCTTGTTCGCCTATTCTGCAGCCACAATGGCTCGTCACTTGTCCGTATTCTCAGCTAGCGGTACCCCTCGAAGGGCAGCCCCTCAAAGCAACCGGCTTAAACGTAGGGGTCACTTCTTAGTCATGCAAGTGGGTTACCCTATTTTTAGCAAAGAAAGCGTCTCGTATGGGGAATTCTTGAACCAAGGGAGGAAGCCTTTAGTGAGGTGCAGTGCACCTAGGAATCTGTTCGCTGGTACACCTATAAGTGCGCTGCTGTCGTGCTCTGCTGTTGTGCTCTGCTGTTGTGCTCTGCTGTTGTGTGTACTTGTACAGCGCCACCTTTTTTGGCACTCCGTTCGGCGGGGGGGAGAAAGGCAACCCATGGGAGTAGGCCGCATTATGTGCACGTTGCATAGGTCCTCACGTTAGTGTGCACACGTATGTATCTCTTTATTTGTGCTTACCTGTGCATGCATGCAAGGTTGCATACATCCCTACCCCCAGCTTTCCTCTTTACAGCAAAAAAAAAAAAAAAAAAAAATGCTCTTGTTTAAGTTGCTATTGTTCGATTCGTAATACTCGAGGAGGGTGCCTTAGAAAGCTCGCATTTCCGCCGTTTGGCACTTTTGCATTTGGCCCGCTGCGCAGCGGTTTGTTGCAATTTCTCAGCAGCTACTTGGCAGCTACATAGTTGCCTTTCCCCAACCAACAGAGTAGCGCAGAAAGAAGCGTCGAACGTGAAGGGTTACGCCGCACATGAAGGCTTACCGCCCCCGTTTCGCTTCTTCTTTTTCACCATGATAGGGATTCCAACGGGAGGGAGGGGAGAATTGGCCAAATGACACGTAGTTACGTATTGAGGCAGGGTGAGAGATGTGAGTAGGGGCAGGAGATAAAATAATTCACCCACCCCACCACCATACATTAGGTAGCGATTAAAAAGGACGAATAGAATTGACCTGTGCCTGCCAACGTCTCTTTCACATCTCCACATCCCATCTGTGTGAGGGAAAATCCATCCCCCCCAAAAAAAACAAAAAAACAATTATGAATAAAAATGAATACCACGCCTGGCTTCGAAAATGATGAAGGGAATGAAAGGGACACAGGCTCCTATGCAAAAAGGAATGCTAATGAGGACAGCGAATACAGCGATTCGTTTGTTGAACACCTATTTAATGTGAATAGGAGACGCCCTGGAGGGGTCAGGGGCAAGCTGTATGGACAGCACCCCCAGTTTGAAAATGAGCAGGGGGGTGGTAACGGTAACTGGTACGATGCAGAGGGAGCACCCAGTGGGGGAAGCAGGCCCCACGTCGTGGGAGGTGAGCAGGACAGGTACCCCGCCCGGGAAGACGAAGAAGTTATGAAGTACTACTCAGTAGTGAAGGGCAACAAAATGAACGAAGATGTTTTGCAAAATCAAATTGATCACCTGCTAAATTTTAACAACCAAATCGAGACGTATGAGGAGAAGCAAAGGAGGCTGTTCCTGGGTTCCGCCAACGATGAGCAGATCGATCCCGGCCTCTACGCAGAGGGGAATAGCGGTGATGGTGGTAGTGGCGGTGGCGGTGGCGGCGGCCATGGCGATGGTGCAGTTTTGTTTTCCCACTTTGTGGATGACCTAAGTAGGGTGAAGAAATGTCATCTGACAGAGAGGGGAGGTGACCTGCCCCCCCAAAGCAGTGACAAAAAAGGCATGACGAATCAACCCGATGGAGTTAATTGTAGTGTGTCTGGTGATGACTTGGATGGAAGTGAAATAGTTCACTCGCTTAACAGCACACACATCACCTTCAACGAAAAGAGACTACTAAACATTTGTAATATAAATTTGAATAACATCTTATACTTTTACCTTTGCTGCAATGAAGAGTATGTCTTACTGTGCCAGGAGGAGGGAGGGGAGGGCAGGAAGCTTATCTACACGTATGACTCATATTCTTTTGAAAAACCTGATGGGGGGAGCGACGTCTCCAGCCATTTATCATCTGAAGGGACCTCCAGGTCGTCTAGCTCCATAAGTGACGAGGAGTTACTTCTTCTTCGGTATGGTAATGCGGAGGGGGATGGAGACTCTGACGAGTGCGCGGAGGAGTATGATGAGGAGGAGGAGGCAGATTGGTATGGCGATGAGGCGGAGGCAGATTGGTGTGGTGATGACCGAAGTGGTAACCACGTGAATAACCCGTTGCGCAGAAGATCCTTGCGCAGGAAAAAAAGGCAAAAGAGGAAGAAAAAAAGGAACGCGAAGAGGACCAGACATGGAGGAGCCACCTGCACCCAGTCTTCCTCTGAACCAACAAAAATGAACAAAGAAGTAGAATCATTAATGAACAAGGCAAACAGTTACTACATTAACCAAAATTTCGAACAATGCATAACCATCCTGGAGAAGGTAATTAAATTGGCTCCGAACCTACACGACCCCTTTCACCTCCTAGGTCTGATCCACGAGAGGGAATACAAAAATGTGAGGAAGGCCATCAACTACTATTTGATTGCAGCACATCTCTCGAGGAACGATTACCTCTCATGGTACAACATAATTGAATTGTGTAAAATGGACAAACAGTATAACCTCATTTTGTACTGCCTCTTCAAGGTGTTACGAATATATAAAACAAAAGTTGCTAAGCGGGAGAAGAAACGCATGAAAGGGGGTGTCCAGGGTGAAGTCGATGACAAAGAGGATCATCACATTTGTGCTGACCAACTTGAAGCGTCGGACGAACAAACAAATGACCTCGACGATTTTTCAAAGCATTTATATTTTAACATAGCCTTTACGTACCTTTTGCTGGAGGACTACAAGAACGGGTTGAAGTGGCTGTTGATGCTACGGAACACCTGCGGAGGAGAGGTCGACATTATGATCGACTTGTACGTGTGCATATGTCTGGTGGTGGTGAGAAAACCACAGGACAGTTACCACTTCTTGAAGCATATGTTTTTACGAGTGATGAGAGAGAGGCGAGAGGGGGGAGAAGCCGCATCAGGAAAAGAGAAGGCGATACACACCAGAGACAGAATCTGGTCATACAATGAAAAATCAATCATCTGCTTTTTCATGCAAAGTCAGATACTCAACGGGAAGTATGACGAGTGCATTTTTGTGTACAAGCTGGTCACCAGGATGAGTGGCGAGAAAATTCACGTGGACATTTTTATACAATTTGTAAAATCCTTATTGATGGTGGGGCATATAGATTATGGTTACCTTACGAAGTGTTCATTTATGAACATGATTTTGGGTGACTGTGTCCTGTTTGAGGATCTCATTTTGCACCTGGCGGAGTCATACTACTCCCGGGGCATGTTCGAGAGCGCCATTCGTTTGTACCGACTTGTCTACGCAAAGAGGAATGGCGTCCTGCGCGGGGGCAGCCAGAGCGAAGCGGCGAAAACGTCCACCAGTCACATAGACGCGACGATAACTTCTCCCACACGTGAGATGGACACCGCAGGGGGCACACTTGTCGGGTACGACAACGGAGTGCAGTTCCTCTCCACCGTGTACAAGCTAGTAAAATGTTATTACTACATACAAAACTTCAACAAGGCAGAAAAAATAATCTTAAAAATATTGAACAATCAACACATAGTTAAAAACAATATCGAAATTGACATAAAGACATTGTACATTAACATTCTGCACAAAACCAAAAGACACAACAAGGCGATAAGTATTCTCCTGAGCATTAAACAAAAGAAGCTACGATTCATGTGTTCCATTCCGAACCCTCTAAGTAATAAAGAGAGGGAAATTCTTTTATTCAAAATTTTAAATCGAAAAAATAAACTGTTACTGTACTTGTCTCACAATAGCTATATCATGCATATGTTTTATGTGTATCACAAGAAGGACAGCGTTTTTTATAAGTACGATAATTTTTTGTCCAAGCGGGATGTAAATGATATTATTAACCTGAGGGTTAATATTTGCTTCTGTTACTTTTGCGTCAAGTATAACTTCAGTGTCCTGGGCCACCTCTACCTCTACAACGTGTTACTTTTTCTCGGCGCCAAGGGGAAAGGGGAAAGTGCAGCGCCGGGCCAATGTAGTCATCGCGGCCACAGCAGCAACAGCGGCCACAGTGGCAACAGCGACAGCTGTGCGGCTGCGGATAGGCGGCTCAGAAAACTCAGGCAACGGATTGACACCCTACACAGCTACAGGGAGTACGTGGTGTTCCTCGCCACGTCCTTTCACATTTTCAAAAATAAGAAAAACCCGGAGGATGTAGACATTGTGTACAAGGACGTGCGGATGGCTGGCACCAAATTGTACTACAAGGGTGTGCTGGTCTTCGACGCCAAGGGGGAGGAGAAGCGGAGCGCGGCAATCGAATCGGTGAACACCGCCGCGGGTACTTCTCGCCGCGCCAGGGAGCAGTTGCGCCGACACCTGCATCGGTACGCGCAGGGCGTGGAGTCCGAAATATTCAATAGCAAAATAATGGTCAAGTTTTATAAATTCAGCTATAGCTTCTTTTCCTTCCTCTACGAGATAGAACAAGACTTCAAGCGCATACACACCGCCATGGAGAAGGAGATTATAAACTTCAAGGGAAAGGGGAAAAACTTGAAGGTGGGGGAGTCGGAGCCAGAGCCGGGGGGGTGGCGGTCCCTGTTCGTGCCGCCGGGCCATAGCAACTTGTGCAGCGAGGGGAGTGAGGTGCCCAGTTTCTCCTCCACGCGGCAGGTTTCATTTCTGCGGCAAGATGAAGTTGTTAGGCAAGTGGTAGATCCTCCCCCCCAGGAAAGTCCCACAACGAGGGAGGTGCAGACGGGGAAGGTGAACACGGGACAGGTGGACACGGGACAGGTGGACACGGGGGAGGCGCCAAAGCGCAGCAAGCGGTTCTCCTTCCTCGTGACGAAGAAAAAAATGAACTTGTTTACATTCGAAAATTACCTGGGTCTATATTTCAGCCTACTGTTCCTAGAGGAGTGCTTCTTCATCGTGACGACGATGAACATGTATGAGGATGCCATACACATCCTGAGCATATATTTGAAAAACAGAAAGTCGAGTAAAATGAAATTCCTTACCTACATGAAGTCAGTCAAGAAAGAATTCCAGCAACATAGAATTAGCAACAATTTTGTTAACCTAGAATGTTATTTCTTCAACAACACCTACTCCAATATTATAAAGGATGAAATGAGGAATGAATATAATAACTTTTGCACTATGAATGAGCATATAGATTGTAAATATTTCCTGTTCCGAATCAACCTGCTTTTAAACAGGCTGTACATATCTAGTGGGAACTTCGAAAAGCAAATAAAATGCCTCAACGATGTGTATATTTTTAAGCGAAAGGAACAGGATGAATATAAGGTGTTGAAGTATTACAGCGATATTGTATTAACAGGTACCTTCTGCCAAAATTATTTATCCTCCATCTCCAAGTCTAGGTACAAGAATATTTTAATTGCTTTTCGATTATTCTTAGTTAGGACTTTGCATTCTAAAAACAGCAACCCCTTTTTGATTTACCTCATTGGAAATGTGTGTAACTTGTCCTGCATGATTGTCAATTCGGTTCATGAGTACACACGCGCGTATGCCTTTTTGCTCAAGGGAAGGAAGGCCAATCAGCAGCGTTTGCTGAGGTGGAGGCGCGGCGTTAAGGGGGTTAAGGGGAGTGGCCAGGAGGGCCAAGTGACACACTCGGGGGACAGCTCACAGGGCAATTCACCGGCCAACTCCCAACCCGATGACCAGTCTGGTGGCCACTCAGACGAGTCGGCCGACGCAGCCGACTTGTCTGACGAGCTCGAGGAGGAGCGCGTCCTGTTCACCAAACTGAAGCTGTGCGCAGAGCGCAGGAAGCAAAACCAAGTGGAGGACAACTTCGAAACCGTGGCGGACGATCTGAACTTCCTATTCAGCCTCATGACGTCGTACTTCAACTACGCCAGTGGCTACCGAGTGCAAAACAGAGAGTCCGTCATGCTAACATCCTTCTGCCTCCTCAACGATTACATCACCAAGAGATATCAACAGAAGGTCCTGAACAAAAAAAAAAAATACCAAATGTATTCTCTCTTCTACAAGCCGTACAAATATATTTACACAGCAGAAATTTTATACAACTTAGGCAGGGCGCTCCATCAGCTGTCCTACTTCTCCGAGTGCATGAAACTCTACCTAAGTGTAATCCGGTTAGTGCAGCGGGCAGAAAAAGAAATGAAAAAAATCTGCTCCTCCAACAAGTTAAACCTGAACAAGAAATTTATTCTAGAATACGTTATAAACATGAATCGCTGCATGTGCTACACCTGCCTCTACTTTGGCCACAAGGCACAACCCACTCCCCTAAATCATCTCACAAATTATTTCAATAATTTAAACAGCAAGTACTCCAACCTGTTTCTCCTTTTCTTCGACAAACGCCACCTCCTCTTCTCGGCCTCCTACAATTTGAGCGTCATTTTTAAAAAGCTAAACAGATTCGAGCAGGCCAAATATGTTCTTAGCAACATCGTCTGGGATTGACCCAACGGGGGGGAAACATATACCGATGTGCTAACCGCGCATCGCCATACGTTTAGGGGTGTACACCATTTTGTGAACCCGCCTCGTTGTTGCATTTCCCTTTTTTTTTTTCTTTTTTTTGTACCTGTCCGTTGTGTGGGGGGTAGGTGACGATGTAGAACTTATGCACACACACATGTGCGTGTGCGTGTATGCACTGTGAGAGGGGTGACCCTAACTACAGCTTCTTCTTTTTGAGGCATTTTCCGCGTCGTATCATGTTGCTCCATTTTTTTGGGGGGGAGAAGGGTGGAATCTCTCTTATACGAGAACTGTCCCCATGGGTATAAAACAAACACTTTTTGTTTTTTTTTGTCCTAAACGATGATATAGGTGATAGGAAACACAACTCGCACTCGTTTGTACGAATCGGTGTGCTACTGTTGACGTTTCAACACCGCGGGTGCATGTACCCTCCTGGGCGACGTCCTACACATGGAGGAGCTTTTTTTTTTTTTTTTTTTTTTTTTTTTTTTTTTACTCCCCTCGTGTGTAGCATAGAAGGAGGCGCTGTTAATAGGTTATAAAAAAAAGGGGGGCAACGAAACGTTCCGCGCAAACACAGGAAAGCTTTGCAGAATTGGCGGAATGTCATTTTACCCTTCACGAATGTGGCTAAACATGTATTTTACCGTATGCTGCTTTCCCCACTTTTGGCTCTTTTTCGTTTCCCCATTTTTTTCCATTTCGCCCCTCCTTTAAATGGTGAGATAATTTCCTGCGGTGGAGTACGCTGAAGGGGAAATGTGCAGAAGAGGAGCAGCTCCCGTGGAGACGCGAACTGCTGCCCATCACCACGCATAAAGTGCCCACCACCGTGGACCAGATCAACTGAACAGCTCCGCCGCCTTTCTCCCCCCCTTGCAGATAAAGAGGTACATCCGGACCAAGGTGATCACGAGCCTAAGCAAGTTCAAATGCTACAACATCGGGAACGATTACACGGCCAGGAATTGGCCAAACATATACTGCATCGACCAAGAAGAAGAAAACGTGGCGAAGAAGACTGAAGAGGAAAAGAAGAGAGGAACAAAAACTATCCCCTATTACAAAAATTACATGCACGATTTTTGGGGGAGGCAACTTATGCACAATTTACACTTGCAGGAAATGAACAAAATGAAGAAGCTGCGCAATTTTAAAATGCCTAAGATACACACGGGGGATTTAGTCGAGGTCAAGTACGAGCTGTCCAGGTCGCAGCAGACTTTTGCCATTTTTCAGGGTGAGACAACGTCCACGTGGGTTGTGCGGCTTCCTTAGCGCGGCTTCATTACGCCACTTCGTTACACACCGCTTCGCTGCACCGCTTCACTGCGGCGCTTAACTTTCCCCCCCCTAGGGTACTGCGTGGAGATACGGAAGAAACGGCTGGACTCGTCCTTCATCGTGAAGAACATCTTCGACGGGGTCGGAGTGGAGCAGCTCATACCCTTTTACTCCCCCAGGATCCTTTATGTGAAAATTGTGAAGAGCCTCCACAACATAAATGAGGAAAAGGCAAAAAAGTATTACCAAATCAATAAGCCTATTACAAGGGACTACCGATACATGTGGCAATATAACTTCCGAGGAAAGTACGAGAGGCCACGGGGGCAACACAAGCCCGGCATTAGGTCTATAGAACCCAAAATTAGAAGACGCTTGGCTAAGCTAAAGAAAAAGTACATGCGCAGAAGAATTGAAAGCAATTTGTCGTCCTACATCTTTGGTGGGATCTACGCACAGTACACCAGGAAGAGGACTAGGTTAGTGCGAGCAGAAATATACAGAAGGATGCTCATATATGCCCTTGATGAAGAAAACAGGAGGAAGCAAAAGCTGAACAAAAGACGCGAAAGGGAGAATTGGAACGTGTTTAAAATTAATCGCAGCCGCGGGGATAATGCCTTTATGGCTCTGCCGGCCAGTCATCCCCTTGCGGGGGGGCACAAGGGGTGAAAAGCACGTCACGCGTGAAGTGACCCAGCATGTGCGGCCACCTTGAGTGAATCACGCAATGAGGATTCATCTTCCCCCCCATCTGTGGCGTGATGATGTGTCTACCCACTTTGTTGCATTATGTAACGAGAATGGAAACGCCACGATGGGTATCGCTAACATCAAATTTGGGGTGCATGGTAGACTTACCCATCTCCGAAGCGCAAGTGCACCTTCGAAACAAGGTTGGTACAAAATTGTGGGGGGCCATTGGACAGGGCGGTCTGCGCATATAAGGCGCACACAAGACAAAAAAAAGGCAAAAAAAAAGGCAAAAAAAAACGCGGCAGAATAAACCCGTTCATTTAAACTGCCAAATTAGTGCTCAGCGCACCCTACGAAAAGAAGACTCCCTTTTTTACACACACTGCCTAACACATGTATCACGTCGACTCAGGAGGAGAAACACTTTTCGAACTTATTCGTCGAGCGGCAGCACCGGTACCCCCACTTTTTTTTTTCCCTGTCGTAGTAACTGCCAAACACGGAGGAATGTTCAAACAGATGAATATCCTCCTCGTACCTACTCAGGATTTTAATCCTTTTCGCTTTGGGGTCGATCTGATCTACTGGTTTATATTCTGTGTATACCTCCGACTGAGTGAGTTCCTCCTGTAGGGCTCCATCCTTAGACACAACATTTTCACACTTGTACGTTTTTACAATATCTTCCTCTTTTTTTTTAATGAGTTTTTTTTTTTTATTCAAAAATTCTTTATACAATAATTCAAGTTGAGTAGGCTGTGCATTGAAGTGCACATTCTCTCCCCTCTTATAAGTGTCCCACGCGAAAATTTCGAGCTTCTTGGATTCAATTGCTTCATCTGTATTGTTATAATAATTTTCTCCTTTGTAATGATTGTTGTCGTCGGGCAAATTTTTCCTCATGCCTGCAAAGGGGTCTTCTCTCATGCTTCTACTTTTGGGGTCATAAAAAGCTGAATTCAAACTTAGGTTGTACAGATACTTGGCTGTGTCTTCCCTGATTCTTAAATTTCTTGCAACGTTTCTGTGTTTTTCGTTGGCGTTGCTTTTTTGTGGGTCGTCTGCCCCGGTGGCGGCCTTTGGCGCGTCCTCCTCCAAGTCCGCGTCATCATCCTCATGCTCGCTGTCGCTGCCGTCGCCGCCGTTGCCTCCATCACCTGCTTCTGCCCCATCACCGCGTCGCTTCTTCCCTGTGGTGGCCTTCCTCTCGTACTTCTTCTTCAGCTCCTCGGCCTTCCTCTTCTTTTTCTCCTCCACGATCTTTTCATACTCCTTGTACACGTGTTCGAAGTTGTCCGGGTTGTAACCCACCCACCTGTCCCTATTCCCGTCGTAGCCCAGGTCCTGCGTCAAGCACACATAGTCTTCATCGTTGTCTCTGTTGGCAAAGTTAAGCTTCCTCTTCCTCGTTCTTTCAAGGCAGTCCTTCTCCTTGTGGGTTGCACTTCCGCAGTTTTTACAAAAATCAGAGACATACTTCAGGTTCTTTACGTACACCTTTTTGTTTCTCTCCTCTTCTATTTTCACTTTTTCCGTACCCTTGTACCGTTGGTGTTTCAGTCCTGTGGGGGAGAAAAGGGGGGGGGATGGCCATTCATTCGGGTTGGAAAAACCCACTCAAACGTTGTTGCGTCGTCCCCACGCACGGGTAGGTCGTTGGTCCCTCCTGCGTTACCTGGTGTGGTCTGGTTCAGATACCACGGGGCCTTTATGATGTACTGGGGCATGTGGGGGTTTATGTCATTCCCCTCTTCGTCCTTCAGGGCTTCAATTTTGCCTGCACTCAGGGGGGAACGCGGTGAAGCATACAAGTATAGAAGTATAGAAGCCGAGAAAACGAGCATGAGCACGTGCGCAGATATGAGCCCATACGTGTGACGCGCCAACACAACACTTACCGGCCTTCCTGGCCTCGTTCAGCTCCTTCTCTTTCTTCTTTTCCTCCCGCGTGACATTTTTGGTATTCATTTTTTCCCTGACGTGGTGTTTCTGGTCTGTCCCTCTCCCCCCATACAAATTACCTCCTCCGCGAGGAGTTCAGCCAAGAGGGGGGGTTGTTGTTGTTCTCTCTCCTGCAGTCGAGCCTCGGAGGTGGCCCAGTTGGCGCCCACACGTAACAAATACATACATACAAAAAAATGTACAACGTATTATGTGGGTATACGCCTACATGTATTTAAATCGTTGCTCCAACTCGTGGGGGGGGACTTCTTCACCCAGGGGGGAGAGGAATGCAATTCCTGTGCGCGGGAAACTTGTTTGGTCAACGGACCATGTGTGGAGAGAAAAATTTGCGCACTTTAATAATGTTCATCCCCTCCAAAGTTCATTTCTGCAAAGCTACTTAGATCTATGTAGCCCATTTTTCCCGCTTCTCCATGCAAACGTTTTTTTCTGCGGGTCGGAAAAAAAAAAAAAAAAAAAAAAAAAAGTGTCCCCTTACAGCCTGTGCATACATATAAAAATATAGTTACGTGCATGTGGGTGAGGCAAGTTTTACAACCACGCAGATACATGTGCGTGCCGCTTCAAGTCATAATTAAATTGGAGAAGGCGCATCTTTACCGAGAGAAAATAAGCCCTCATGGCCAGGTTACTCCTGTGAAAGGTTCATGGGAAAATGGAGGCTCATTTACATGGCCAAACCTTCTTTCACTCTCTCACGTTCGTCTAAGAGGAAGCAATGTCAGTCGCGTGGTAAAGAGCTCCACCCATGTTAGAAAAAGAAGTTGCTGTGGAAGAGGAAAACTCCAGTTGGGCCAAGTTGGCAATCCAACGGGAGACAAAAAAAAAAAAAAACCCTCCCGTTATTGTTGTATACTATTACATATACATATACTGACCCATTAGTGAGATGACAAAATTAAGGGAACCTCCAAAAAAACGAATTTAAATTTGTTTGTTGTGGTGAGCTACCTTCGCTTGTACGCAGGGCAGAAACCAACATGGGGGCAACAGCTGCGCAAAGGCGCGGGGACCCCCTTGGACAGAGTTAACAAAAAAAGGAAGAAACATAAAGTCAAAGACGGGAAAAATAATAATCGTATGTGAAGTAAAAAAAAAAAAAAAAGGGGGACTAAGAAGTTTTAACAAGGAGGGGGTAGCACCCGACACACACTGCTTGAAAAAACACACTTCTTTGTCCCTGAGGCAGCGGTGATTGTCCAGCCCCCCTGCGCCCCTATTCACATATCGTTTGTCACCTTGAGCTGCTCGAAAATAATAAGCCTATACATATTTAAAATAAACGTCTTCCCATCTGCGTCTAAAAACTTTTCAGCCGCAACGAGCATCTCCTTTGGAGGTCTCTGCTTCAAAACTTGATCCACGAAGTAGTCGCTAATTTGCCCTGTGATTTCGTGCTCATCAGATCCTATGTACTCTATTATTTTTTTACATACCCATGGCTTCAACCTTGTAATTATATTTCCCTTTTGATTTAGGACCTTCCAGTCTATGGGGAAGTTAAATATGTCCTCTTCGCTGGAGGGAACCAAGTCCAAAATTTGTTTCGAGTTTTGTATCACGTCCATGGATTGTATGCTTTCCCCTAGTTCGGTAATCGACACTTCCGCTGCTGCGTCTACCACTTCCGCCGCGTCTTTACCTTTTCCACCCGACGTGGCATGGGACGTCCTCGTTTTCCTTCCGAACATATCATCTTCATCGTTCGTGTTGAATACGTTTTGTAGGGCTTTCCTGGTGGACACTCTTGTCGCGATGTCCGTGTCTGTGTTTTTTTTTTTTTTTTTTTCTCATTCACCTTTATGTTGATCGGTTCTGAGGCGGGGGTTTTTCGCTTGCGCGTTCGCGTCTCCACGGGGTGTGTATCCTCTGCCTGTTCCCCCGTGCAATTCTCAACAATGTCATTCTCCACACATGTCGTGTGCAGGCTGGCGTTGTCCGCATGGTCGTTCTCTACTGTCTCGTTTTCCGTATTGCATCCTGCCTTCGCCTGCCCATTTTCATTTGCCGTCTCGCTGGACTCCTCCCCGCCCGCCGCTTCACCATCCAGTGCCTCGTCCCCTTTCTCCTCCACCTTACCCTCACTCCTCCTGTCAAACACGAAGGACAAGGCGTTCATAAAAAAACTGCTCTTGGACTTGGACACACTAGCAGTATCTTTGCTCTCTTGTTGGTTGTTTGCCTTGTCGTTTGCGTCTTCAGGAAGTTGATCCGATTTTGTTGTGGCTTGATTGTCCCCCCCGTGTGGTTCGTTTTTATCGGCGTCTCCATCGACATCTCTATCGACTTGCTCCTTCCTCCTCTTGGCCTCCTCCTCGGCCTCCCTAATCTCGTTGAGCCGATCCAAATCGTCGAGCTCCTTTTCCTTCTTCCTCTTGGAGTTTCTCATTTCCCTCTTCTTCGAGGAAGACAAATTTGCATTCTCCTGTTCCCCCTTTAAGTCAAATTCAATTAACTTAGCAATGTCCTTCTTTTTAATCTGCTGCAATTTGTTCCACTCCTTGTAAGTATCATTTTTGATCTGCTCCTCCAATTCAAGCCATTCCTTTTCCCTCTGCAAAAAATCTTTGTCTAATTCGTTCTCCTTATTAAGTGCTTTTTGTATTCTCTCCTTTTCCCGCCAGTGTACTTTATATTCTTTGCTCAAATACCTGTTTCTACCTGGAGCCTCTTCATTAGCAAGATGCTTGTTTGAACTTTTATCAACTCCATTGTTGGAGGATGAATGATTATTGTTCATCCCGTTGGGCTGACCTTTTTCAGCTTCATCCAAGTCATCGGCACTGTGATTTGGGTAATCCATGGCGTCTCCGTGGTGCATCAGGTGCCCGCTGGGGATTCCTTCCCGGGTCGCCAGGTCCATGTTTTGAGGTGCGGTCTCGCAGTGCGGCGATTCTGCTGGGGGGCGGTCTACGTATTATAAAGCCGCGCACTACAGAGCAGTGTTCCGCCCAAGTGTACACTTCTTCCCCCTTCAGTGGAGTACAAAATATATGGACGATGGGACTGGATTGAAATTGCTCTCGTCACAATTCGTTTTTTTGTTTTTAATTTCCCCCAGAGTACGCTCACATATTAAGCAAACACCGAAGAGAAGCACAAGGGTCAGGTGAACGTTGGATAAGAGAAAAAAAAAAAAAAAAAAAAAAAACGAGATGGCCTGAAATTATTTTGTCTATGCCACTTGTTCACTAATTAAAGGATGTTTTTTCTTCTCTTCTCATGACATGGTCCCTCCTTTTTCATACAAGGTCAGTATCCTTTTCTACACTTGACGACTTGGTTCAATCTCTTGTTCACTTTTTCCCGCAGTGAACCTTCGTTTCCACTCAAGTGTACATGTTTAGCCTTGCGATAAATACGCAATAGAAGGCTGTACCAGCGGTAGATGCTCTAAGCGACGCACCGTGGGCCCAAGCCTACATGTGGAAAGTTTACTGTTGTGTTCCATCACGCAATTGCGTTTATATCACACGTTGAAGCAATGCCCATGGCCCCTTATTCGCAAAAAAAAAAAAAAAAAAAAAAAAATAGAGGTTACTGTCTCCAGAGATGGGGCAAACTTGCGTGCACGGCACATAAATAACCAACAACAATTTTTACCACTGTCAGCATGCAGGCGTTTTTTATATTATATCCAATTTCGTATGCGGCTTGAGAGTGTTTGGGGCTTTCAGAAAATTCTGACCAGTTGTGCAAATTTCGGGGAAAACAAATAAAAAAAAAAAAAAACGGAAAAAAAAAAAAAAAATTAAAAAACGGAATAAAATTGCCAACAGTGGTAATGAATTTAACACCACATGTGGGAAGTAAGAAATAATAAAAAACACAAGGAGAAAAAAAAGCCGCCTTTGTCCTGGTTGCCCCCTTTTTTTTTTTACCTTGACTTTTTCTCCCTCCCACTTGATTCATATTGTTGCTTTAAAAACCCACGATTGGTTAGGCAGCAGCGTGGCTTCTACTTGGAGAACCATTCCACGCACGCGAAGCATGTAGCAGCGTGAATCAACCAACAAAGGTGTTCACATCTGAACTGAATCAGGGGGAGCATATTAACAACATCCGTTCAAACTACATACGTGGCTGCACAGTATAGTTTACCACCCTGCCCCCCCCCTTTTGGTTCATCCTAGTGTTTCCCAATCAGTGTGGCCGTTGGCCATGTTTGGCATGATGGACACCACGGCGACGTTACAAAATAATCCTAAGGGGTAAAACTGCCCATCTACTAAATGTGGTGGCAAGTTTGACAATGCAATGAAGCACAAAATATGGAAAACCCAACTTGTACAAGTCTTTTTATAACCACCATCACCCCTCCCCTCTGTGTGTGTGTGTGTATTTTTGCTCGTGGTAGAAACGTCATTAGAGGACATACGAAGAGGTGAAATTGTGCGACATCATTGCGATATGTACATAACCAAGTGGGTTATTTTGTGTGAATGCCGATTGAACAGGGGGGGAAGGTAAAGGGTCTGATCGGTGAAGAACCCTAATTCCAAACGAACGTTTCTTCATTTGATCTCTTTTACGTGTGCATCTGTTTAATGGGTCCATTTTTAAACGTGGCACATCACAATGATCAACCTGTGTTAGTACCCACATAGTTTCACTCCCGCGTTGAGCAGATAAGTTACACATACGAACGAACACTGGTAGCTGCGGAACGACATACTATTAGGTCGTGAAAAGGACCTACACTGCAACTGTGTGATAATGTTACACGCACGCAAATACTTATGTGAATAGAAACCCCTTTCCGATCACCGACTTCGCTTTGGTGCATCCTTCTATTTAATTTCCGCTTTCATGGGAAGATATAAGCAGCCAGACTGGTACTGCCGCTTAGGACTTGTTCCTCCGTGTATGGAGAAAACAATTGCAAAGGGAAAGTACGAGACCGTTTCATGCCTTCCTCCTTTCCAATGTGCACAGTACAGGTTATTTGAACACTCACTGGACAACGTGAACCCTTGCCAACAACTATGTTATTTTGCCTAAACAATACAAGGCACCTGTAATGTCATCCCAAGTGTGCGAACACAACAGGGACAAAGGAATACATCAGTGGTCCGCTTTAAAACGTTACATGTGAGCAAAAGTTTATCTTACTAAAGGGGATATGCGTTCCACACTTCGTGTAATGCAACCCAGTTGTCCTTTTGATTTAAACTCCGGAGTATTTTTTTTTCTTGTTTTTTTTTTTTTTTTGCCCCTTTTTAACCGACCATTTGACGAACGGTGATGGGAATTTAAAAGGGGGGCGCTCCCGAGTTCTCCGCAAATTCGAAGTGGAATCCCTTCGCACTGTTCAACATGCAGGAGAAACACGTGCAAAGGAGATGAGGTACAGGTTGGCTAAACCGTTGCGATGCGGAATGGGGTTAACTTTTCATTTCCCCGTTCCTACTTATTTGTTGTTTTTTTTTTTTTTTTTTTATTTTTTCCCCTTTCGTGTTGATGAAGCTTTGGCCCAGATTGCAGCTCGGCAGTTACCCCCAATGAGAGAGCACGGCCTTCCCGGGGAGGAGCGAGCAATTTTGGCGCACACATGCAGGCACGCAGCAGTGCACAAGTGTAGCATTATACATATATATATATTTACATGCACGTGCATACGTATGCGCATTCCCCTGACCACTTCACCACTTGAACTTTTTCTTCGCATTCCACGCGCGTAAGCATTTATAAATATATATAATATAATATATATGACGCACGTGTATAAGCTGTATGTTTTTATGTACGTACATTTACATGTATGCTCTCGCGATGAGACCGGAACGTCTTTTCCCCCGTGTGCATACCCAGGGGGATACGTATTCGTACACGCGTGTGCGTAAGGAGCACTTTTGTCGCGTATCGGTGGTAAGTGTTCGGAGGGCCAAGTGCACTGAATCGGCGGTGCGCGTATATAAACGTATCCATGTGGCAAGCGCCTGCACACACATATATGTATGCATATATATATAAATATATTTATGTATGTATATATAAACATATTCATGTATGTATATATAAATATATTCATGTATATATATATATGCATATATGTATATGATATATGCTTTATATGTACACCTTCACGTGCGTGGGCGCGCGCTTCCTTGTGTATGCTCGCCTTAGCGCACACCCCTCTTTCTCACTCCAAATAGCCATTTTCCCGCTGTGCACGATCGCATGATCATGTTTTTTTTTTTTTTTT